ATAAATATACTATAAAGGAGCCCTAAACCCTATCCTAATTATTAAGGCACCCGCAGTATATCAAGAGGCTTCTAGCTATGTGTTAGTGCGCGGACATGTGCGCTCTGGGCGCTGCAGGTGCGTCCCTCTCTGTCTCTCTCTCTCTCTCTGTCTCTCTCTCTCTCTGTTGGTTGTCGTTGCAGACACACTCTCCGCTCTCACCTCAGCCCTGACGAAAGCAAAAGCAGAGGCCATCCAGGACTATGCCAAGTTCATGTGCTTCCTGCCGGTGCATCAGGCCTCTCTGCTCGACCTCGCACCCCGGTTGATGAGTTCTTGAATTTCAGTTCCTTTGCCCATAAAGTGCCTAGACCAGATTCAGCACGTGTGCTTGCCGCGGTGTTAAAGCCACTGCATTCAGAAAGGTCTTCAGTTGCAATCCATCAAGCTCATCATCCGGTGCTCTCATGCCGGTTTTCAATTGGAACGAGCATCACAACCGTAGTGGTGAGAGTTGCAGCGATGAGATGAGAACAAAAAACCATGCCAGCCGCTGTGGTGCAAGCCAATATGTAAAAAAGGATAGCAGTGGAAGATACTTAAGACTGAGCGTCTGTACGAGGCACCCTGTTTTCTGCCAGCACATCACGTGCTTCTGTACGAAGCACCGTATTTTCCGCCAGAGCATCACGCCCTTGTAGACACAGGGGTAGTAATGGTGGTGCTGGCACTGCAGCGAGAGCAGGTGCAGGGAGGAGTAGTAGACTCACCGTAATAGTAGAAGCACCATGACGGTTGTTTCTGTTCTTTGCTAATAGCAGTACTACGTAATGCCGGCACGAAGCCTGGGTAGCATTGGGTCAGAACAACCGCCGCTGCATTGGCAGTTCTGAAGCTGGGTTGTATGTCATTCATGTCAGTATTTATCGTAGCAATGGTGACTATACCGAAACGCGGTGCGCTGGTGCTTAGAGCCAGGGACAGGCCGCCAGTGGTAGCAACCAGTCATGCAACACTGCTGATAATATAGAAGCCTGAATAATTACAAATATTATTCCATAGGGTTCCTTATTACACTTACCTTGTTTAATTACGTAGGCCCCTATGTTAGAATTTCAGGTGGTATCGAAGAGTGATGGTGGGCCTGTTCGCCGCGACCAACGTCCTGCTGATACTTCGGGGTAGTATAGGGGCCTTCATTAGACTCATTAGACTAGGTGACTAGCAAGTTTGGGGGTTACAGTAGAGTATAAGTTTAACCACAAGAACCCTCAGGGTATGACGACCGTGACCGCGCGAGTTTACTTATGGTGATGGCAATAGACATTAACCCTAAACCCTAAACCCTAAACCCTAAACCCTAAACCCTAAACCCTAAAATTGGAAAGGGAGGTGCCCGCAGAGCCGAAGCCTCGATTGGTCTGTTTTCCACTTGAAATGCAATATGTGGATTTCCGAAAATAAGGGGGTACCTTATTTTGGGGTCCTCATACTAAGGATGCTATATTAGGGTCCCCTATTTCCGGAAACCCCCATATACCCGCAACAGACAATCCTTCCTAACAATCTTGTGGGACCCTGCATCTCACAAGCCCTTGGCGTTGAAAACCAGCTACGAAGCCCTGTGTCCCACTGCGAGCCGAGGAACAGCTCTTCCCTCAGCTCAGAGCACACATTGTGCAGAAGACACAGCAGCTCTTGGCCTGCAGGGGGGTTCCTTCCCGGCCCTGCTTTTTTCGAACAGACGACATGCAACAGGTAAGAGTCAGCAAGAGTAGGCATGGTACCAGGAGTTGCAGTCGGAGTAGTAGTAGTAGTAGTAGTAGTAGTAGTAGTAGTCGTAGTCGTAGTCGTAGTCGTAGTCGTAGTGGTCGTCGTCGTCGTCGTAGTAGTCGTAGTAGTAGTAGTAGTAGTAGTAGTAGTAGTAGTAGTAGTAGTAGTGAGTATAGAAATATATATAAGATGCTATTAAATATTATTTATCATACATAGTTGCTTTAAC